GCCCATGTATTACTTGCACCCTAAGACGAATAGGGCCTGGCGCTTTAGCAGAGTATCAAACGACTGGAATCGTTACCTCTCCTCTTCCCCAAACCAATGCCAGTTGTCCGTTTTGATTCTTCTGTAACCTCAAGAAGTACGGTAGCATTGCAGGACTCCGGTGCATATGGACCGTGTACAGTACAGCTTGGTTTCCGATCACGGAGGAATATTCGTGATCGACCGAGATACGGGAGCGATTACGGTAACTCGTCCATTGGATCGTGAACAAACACATGAATATTTACTGCATGTAGTGGCTCAGGATTCAGATCCGGTCAAACCGAAAAGTAGTAAAGGTAATATTGATTGCTCATTGTTCTACCATTAGCTTTTTTATTCCTTTAGTTCTTTAATTCAAAAAGTCAATTATAGCCATGGTTCTTGTGTCGGTACTCGATCAGAACGATAATCCGCCTGTGTTCGAGAGAAACGAGTATGTGCTGCAGGTGAGTGAATAGGAATCTGCCTTGTAGTGTAGCTGTCCTTGATATTTTTTATTGGAATTTTGAAGATTGCTCCCTCATTTTCACAACGTAAAATTTGTTCCTCATGGTTAATCCTAACAGGTGATGGAATCCGAATCTGTCGGGTATACATTGGTGACGGTACGAGCTGAAGGAGGAGACGCAGGAGAGACAGTCAGTTATAGGCTGGCCGAAAATGGAACGCACAATGACTATGTCAGCCTTGATAAGGAGAAAGGTAATCTTTTTGGCTCTTCCCTAACCCAATGATCCTGTGGTAGTTTTTCTACAAGTGGGTGGTGCGGTGCTTCATATGGGTCATGAGTTAGAACACAGATTGAACAAATGCCAAGGATTTTGAACCTTGTTCTAGTGACCTTGTTCATAGATCTTGACTACATCATTGAGATCTATTGAGAGGAAAAATTTAAAGAAAGTTCATTTAACTTAATCGTCTCTTAAAGGAGGATCCCGCGATAAGGTCGAAGGTCGAAGAAGGGGAAGGTGGTATAAAGGAAAAACAACGGGCAGTATGAGGGTACGAGCCGACACGCAATTCGTTGCGTAAGACATGCCGCCGGCGACCTAAAATGGCCCTCCAAGCGGCGCTACCGGCACGGCACCCCCATCTAATGGCTAATTACTCGCCGCAGGTCTTATTCGTTTAGCAGAGAGAAAGAGAACGTTAGCGTTGGAGAGAGCAGCTTGCCTTCTAATCATAAACTCCGTCTTTAAACTTCATGAAACTGTTACGTTGAGCTAAAGAAAGAATTTTCCAGGCGTTAGGAAAAAGAACAAGCTTTATTTGGACTTGCGCTGTATAAAAGCAATGCTTAAATATGACATATATTTAAATTTATCTTGTCAGATCAGGATTTAAATGTGTCCATTGAAAATGAAATTTTGTAGGAGTTCTGAAATTGGCGAAAGGACTTGATTACGAGAAGGAAAAATTGCTCACGTTGACTATTGTTGCAACCGATTCTGGTAGCCCGCCGTTGTCATCTGAAGCTGTTGTCACCATACAGGTGAGCTATGGTTTTCTTAATTCTACTGCCACCGGGTGAACCATCTGTGAAATGTTTGTATCTAAGGTTCTTTTTTTTCAACAATTATCGTAGTTTTATTGTGCGTGCGGCTGCAAAGCTCCGTTCGTCTTATTTCTGTCTTGGCGTCTCTGTGACAAAAAAATTTATGGCTAGTTCGACAAATATGCAGGAGAAATTAATAACTAGATAGTTCTGAATGCGAGTTCTTGAATGAAGAGGAGGTGATCTTGTTTTATTCTAGTGGCTCTGACCGAAATATAAAATCCCGTATTGCACGAAAGAAAGGTTACAAGGCCTCGTTGAGAAGAATTCCCCGAATGGGCACGACAGTTTGAAGGTGGGTCGATTCCGCTTCTACTGACAAACTTGATTCTTGAAGCGTTTGTTGTTGTGTGATTGGATTTGTGTTGGGTAGGGTGCTTTGTATTTGTTATTACATCAACCTTCAGCATGTGCGGTAGTGTGGACGTCTTCGTGGACTACTTCCAGATTTTCTAAACTGCATCTTACTTCTCTTTCCCCGGGCGTTTAATTTCGCACCGTCGCATGCTCCATTTTTTCTGTTGTGCGGCCATTGTCCTCTCGCACAGCAGCCATTGCCGGTTGCCTACAACAATGGCTCCTTGATATGGCCCTCTAGCGCGCTGGTCACTTGGCCCTTGTTTCAAAGTCGGAGTGCTTTCTTACCCGAGTGTCTTTGTTAGCGTTCTGCAGCAGCGTTGGCCCGTGACATCGTGCCCTTGAGCAAGGCTCCTGATACGATCTGACATCCTCGCTTGTTGGGTTGCTTCCACCCACACACCCATCTCGGTCTCCACTACTTAATTTTTCTTCAATGGTCCTGCTGCGATGGCTAGAGCACAGATGATTAGAGAACGGGTGAATGCTCCAGGACTAAGCTTTGGAAAGGCGAGAGTCCCGCAGAGAATCGCAGAGCGGTAATAAGGCTGATTTCACAGAATTCGTCCACCCACCCATCTCGGCTCCTATTCGGCAATCAGTATAACTGCTTCGCATAATTACTGTGGTTTGCGACCGTACTCTGTGCCGTGAACATCGGGACTCTATCACCGCCCTACAGCATCGCCGATGGCAGGAAATGCCAGTGGACTCCCTCTTATTCATCAATGCTGCGCTTTGCGCCAGCTTTGAAATTTCTGATTGCTGAAAACAATCATCCAGTGCAATAATACATGTTGTAGGTGAAAGCAGTTGATGCGGACAGTGAGCACTATGGCCGTGTGGCGTACTCGATCAAGGATGACGCGAGCCTGTTTCAAATCGACGATCAGGGCTTGATTACGGTAGCTGGACAACTTGACAGAGGAGACGGTCGGTGTAGAGAGACGGCTACTTGTAACATCCTGTGTATATTTATTTACTACTGTCAGACTTCAGAGGCCCTATCATCGCTTCGAAGTGGAGGCTCGTGATGGCGGTGAACCGGCGCAGAAATCGGTGGTGACCGTGCTAATTGACGTGAACGATGTGAATGATAACTCGCCGGTGTTTGCCGATTGCAACATGACGGCTGTAGTGCAGGTAAGTACCGAAATTGTGGTGAAGCCTGCGAAAACCAAAACATTTCACTAGCATTTTGTAAGTGCATGCAAATTACAGGAAGGAGTAATGCCTGGCCATACTCTCCTCTCATTATCGATTAGCGATGCGGATGGGCCAAATTTTGCTGGACCGTTCCGTGTGGAAGTTCGTGGCGAAGGAGCAAAAGCATTCCGTGTCGATGAGCAGTACAACCTGGTGACAGTCACTCGTTTCGATCACGCAAAAAGAGATCGATTCCTACTCACTGTGAGGAACTTTACCTCATTTTTCTCATTATCAAATCCTCATTATTTTCCATTCTTTTCAATAATTTGCGATGTGATTTTGGTTATCCCACAATTTGATTTTTCTAGTTGATTGCTCATGATCGTGGAAATCGTTCAACGGATTGCCCACTGACAGTGTTTGTAAAGGAAGAAAGCCGACATCCTCCTCGGATAGTACCGTTGAGAGTTTCGCTGAATACGCTGATGGGAGAATTTAAAGGAGGGGTGATTGGTACAGTCCAGGCGAAAGATGAGGTTGGTCTGTTTTTTTTTTCTTTTTTGGAGTCTTTAGAAGTATATTTTGAGATCAAAAAGTTTTTCTCATGTTAGCACCCTGGTGGTTTCTCCCGAAGAGTTCTTTCTTTTCTGAGGGCTAAACCTCACCACTTCTACTTTAGGGTTAAGTGGTTTTGAAGTTCGGAACGCTACAATTTTATGGGAAATCAATTTCTGACAATGAGCTGGAAAACTAGTCCAATTTTAATTGGTTAGATAGCCTCAGAAGATTATCACCTTTTGACCTTCACATTCTCATTTTTCACGGAACATTTGAATTTGCTGACGGCCCTCTGTGCACCAAAAAAAGGACAAAATGTTTGGTTCATGTTCGATTCCCCGTGACGATTTCCCGTGATCGCAAAATTTTCCTCTGTCGTCGTTTGCAGGATGCCTAAAAATGGTACCGGCAGCTAATAATGGATGCCTTCCTATTATGAAAACCTATGGTGACCACTGAGTGTTTTCTTGCCAGAAACGGGTGTTAAAGGGTGTAGAGCAAGTGTTTTCTAACCCCTTTTTGACATTCAGAGCGTCACTTAAAAAAATGAAACCAAATCTGTGTTCCATCCGTACCCTAATATTATGGAAGAAACCGTCTTCAAAAGCGGTGCATTATCTGAAAGGCCTTCCCGGTCAGTGCATGTATGAACCGCAGGATACAGCACATTTCATTGTACAAAATGTGGTCCTTTCAAGGACGCTGGAGACATGCTTCGATTCTCGATAGTCGATGGAAGCGTCCTCGGACCACTTCCCACGGATGCCCACCCACGAGCTCACGTTGTGAAGCCGCATTTGTTCCGAGTTGATGCGAAGACTGGCGAGGTATGAAAAACTGTCCAATTTGGTGTAACCGTTGGAATTTTCGAACAGTGGAAAAACACCTGAATTTAAGGTTTGGAGCGCACATGGCATCCATGGAGGTCTTCACGCCTTCAATGTCTCTGTGACTGATGGAAAATTCACTACTGTCAGC